AATTCTACAATTATGGAGGTGTGTGAAAGCACCCAACCATATGTTTGTGATAGGAAATTTTAATTAAATCTGACACCTGTGATCAACATCAGATTTATTATTCATAAGGAACCATAATTGATAATCATGAAGAAAAATTTATTTTGTGAATCCCAGAGATCTGGGTAGACACACATTATTAAAAGTTTTATTTATGCATGGCCCTGGTATTTTTTATTACCTGGGTGATGCCATTGTTTGTTATGTCAATGACAACATCAAAATGTACTGAATAATCTTTGTGATGAACGTGGAGACAAAGGAATTCACACACAAGGTAAGTATTAAATAGCAATATTATGTTTGCTTATTTTATTTTTATTTTAACCAAAATATATAATTAAGATTAATTATAGTTTATTTATATTTTTATTATTTATATATTATTATGTATTTTAACATAAAAAGAATTATCCTCTAAGAAATAAAGGCAATTTGTATTTTTATAATAATTAAAGACATGAAATAAATTTATGTTACAAATAATAAATAATATCAATTATGTGTCACGTCTCCAGATGTAAATATTGATGTACTACACAAGATGTTGTACACGGTTATTATATATGAAGTAATCAATAATGATATCAAATGTATTCATTGTGATCGATGTGAGGACAAAGGAATTCATATATGAGGAAAGGATTAAATAAGCTAAGTTATGTTTATTTTTCATATATATAATTAATTAATTATATTTAAAAAATTATTATTTTATTTCACCTTTGTAATGGCATTAATTTCAATAATTCTGAAATTGTTTGTTAGTGTTAATGATTGAATCAATCACACATGTGATAGTCAGTTTAGATGGCTTTTTTTTAGAAAAGGTTTAGTTGAATTAACACAAAAAAAAGATTAAATATTTGCCGTGTCACGATCTCCTTCCAAAGCTCGCAAATCGTGCGACTTCCGTGCAGGTTTCTCGCTGATTGTCTCCTTTTGCGTTTAGCCGCACTTGGTTTTTTCGGCTTTTGGCGCGATCAATGTTTTCACCATATTTAGCAAAAATTGTGTCGTACGGCAAATGTTCGTTTCATATAAAGGTTGCAATTGCAATTGAGTTGCATTGAATTGAGTTGCATTGAATTGAATTGCAAGCAATGCGTTGTAATTGCAATGAAACCGAAAAATCTCTGTTTTTAAACTTTTTAAACTTAATTTTTTGGGAAAGAATTTTTTGCTTTCGCTGGGTGGTGATTTCAAAAAAAATTTTTTTTTTTTTTTATTTTTCTGAAAAAAAAATTTGATCTACATAAATTTTATTGCAAAAAAAAATATATACAAGTAGAAATTAGAAATGAAAAAAATTTGATATACGTAATTTTTGAATAATGAGAATTATTCAGTGTCACAACTCTCGTCACCGTTGTCATTTACCACTGTTTCGTTTTCATTATCATCGTCATCATTTTCACAGCCTTTATTCTTACTGACAACTTCGTTCATTGTGTGTGTCAGTTTTGTTGCCCTTGCTGTGCTTGATTCTTCTTGTGGATCAAGGTCTATGCTTCTTCTTTTTTTTGCCCGACTCCCTGATGTGATTTGTGGTCTTTCTCTTGCTGTTGGAACTCATGAATTGTTCCTCAAAATCCAGGTGCTTGGATTTTAATGCTTTGCGTGGGGATTTCTTTTCATCGTTGTTGTTGGTCTTTTCAACACTCGGATAAGTCCACTCGATTTCGCTTGCAAAGACTTGTGCAAGCTTTCTGCCCAGAAAAACCTCGCCTGCTACAGTAAAAATTTGTTTCCCGTTTTTTGTAGCATTGGGAACACCACCGTGACGACCATTATCAGGATCATAAAAACATGGAATGTCCATTGATGTGTATCCACCTTTAAATGGGTTGTATGTTCTTCGAGACATAGTGAAGTAATGTTTGTCGTTTTGATTTTTTGAAGGTGTTACACACGGAGCAGTTATGACACCATATAAAGGACTAATTGGCAGATCGTATATAGTTGGTTCGTCTTCTATGGTTTTCAGGTCAAGTAGGGTTGATTTATTCACTATGACCTGGAGTGTGTGACAAGAAATATGTTATTTTAATTATTGTTATTTAAAAAAGCAAGACAAAAAAATAGACAAAATACTCACAAATAATTGCGATTCGTCGAATATGTATTTTCCTGCAAACAACATGATGGTGTTTTCTTGAATCTCATCAATTAAATTTGCTTCGTCCACATTGAATGCCTTGCATTGGATGTCTACATATTCATCATCATCCAATCCGGCTGTAGCTGTGCCGCTTAAGGTTCTGGAGCCATTAACGGACTTGACAAACACGATTGCGGTCAATATAGTAGACATTATTCTTTCGTTTGATGTTTAATATTAATAATAATGAATGAGATAGGGCCAAAAAAATAAAATTGAACACGGATCAATGAATTATTTTGTGTGCAAAGAAAGGTTTTATTATATATTGTTATTTCGTGAAATTTTTTGAACGCGGATCAACGAATTATTATTTTTTTTTTTTGTATATGTGCGAAAGATTTTGTACGAATTTTTGCTTTTTAATGTTAATAAAGATAATTGTAATTATTTAACAAGAGATAATTAATTAATATTTAATATCAGATAAGAATGAAAAAAAAAAACTTTGAGTGAAAGGTTTATTTTATACATGTTTTTAACAATCATCAAAATTTTTTGTTTGTATTTATTATCGCGCACGAAAACCACACGTTGTTCTGTAAATGAAATAAATGAAACGAAGCCATACATTGTTCTATAATTAGTAATGTCAAGTTAAGTAAAAAACATTAATTCAAACGAAGGAAAAACCTTCTTGTGGATTATCATATTTTACTTTATTTGTATTTATTATCGCGCACGAAAACCACACATTGTTCTGTAAATGAAATAAAAGAAACGAAGCCACACATTGTTCTATAATTAGTAATGTCAAGCTAAGTAAAAAAATTAATTCAAACGAAGGAAAAACCTCTTGTGGATTATCACTTTATTTTTTTTTGTTATACACACTAATACCAAAATGTTAAAACACGTTTTAGCGAATTATCTTTTTTTGACGATTGAATTGTTTCTAATACTAAAAATGCTAAAAACGGATTATCTTTTTTGACAATTGGATCGATTATGATTATTATTGTTTAATGCTAATACTAAGATTCGTTTTACTTTTTAAGAAAAGCATCATTCTATTATTAACATTTAATTAATTTAATTGCAAAAACATACCGTTGATTCGTTTACTTTTTAAGAAAAGCATCATTCTATTATTGGTGTTTAATTAATTAATTATTAAAACGTGCTAAAAAAAATTTTTTTTGAGTTGTAAATTTTGTTTTTATTAAATGAATTTGTTTATTTTTTCATACATCGTTCATGTTTTGTCTTGATCGTATATCTTAAATTGGTTGCGTTTACAATCGTTTCGTCGACATTCGTTATGTTAAGGTTGTTTCGATTATATCGAGAGATATGGTCAAGAGAAGAGTTAGGAAGAGAGTTATTTTTCAACCAAGTCGAAAACCAACCCTTTAAATACATTTTCGAGTAGTACAATTTTATTTATTAGACTATTTCAAAGGTTTTGTCGCATGATTGCTTCCAACTTCTTAAATCGAACAATTTGTTAATGAAACAATTGTTCGTGAAGTGATTGTTGACAAAGTGAATCAAACCTACATTAAATGTTTTATTTTTAAATTCACGATTTTAATTGGTCGATCAACAATTGCGTGGGTTAAATTTTGTGTTACCAGAACGGTCACGTTGTATAATAATGACAAATTATTTCATGGTTTGAACGTAGTGCGCGCATTTGTAAGCTTAATTTTATCTTGATCGAAGACGCAATCCCAAACCCAACTTAAAATAAATGAATTTTTGTTCTCGTGTAGCACGGTATGCATGTTTTGTAACACAAAAAGCAAAAGCTCACATTGCGTTCTCAGTTGTAAACTTGTTCGTTTAACAACGTGATGTTAAACAAATATTTAAAGTTGTACAACTCAAATTAAAAGTAATATGATAGAATATAACTGATAAATGCAAATCAACGCGATGTAAATTTGATTCGGTCATGTGGGGTGAGCTCATATGACCGACTTATCGAGTAAACCGATTTATCGAATTAAATTACTTAAATATTAAGAAAATGGGGTGAAAATTTTGGCCGACTTATTGAGTTTACATGTGTAGTGACATTAATGAATTAAGCAAGGAATTGTTTAATGATAATGAAAGATAGTTTTGAAAGTATATTCACAGAAATTGTTATTATGATTTAGTATAAATGATTGGAAGAAATTATTTTATTGTATTGACACAAAGATAAAATTAATAAATGAATAAATCATCTTTGAACTTGAATGTGATCTGACAATATACACAGATATGGTTAAAATACACAAATTATACAATCGCAAAAAATTTTACATTTCTAAGTCTTAGATATTAAAACCGATCGTGAATTGATTTGCATAGAAAATTATAGTCATGTTCTTTTCTAATCATTCCACCATTTTGTACTCCGTGTGACCAAGGTACATTCATATTCATTATATAAGGATATTTTGCAACACCTTCTTGTCCTGCCCAATCAAAATCTACTATCATAATTCTGTCCTTGTCATTTGAAATCATCAGATTTGATGTACGAACATCACCATGGACATACCCTTCACCATGCAGTAAATTAATAGCATTCTTAGCCAATTCTAGAAATTTATCGCTTTTTGTTTTGTCAGGAGGTGACAGAGCCTCATAAACTGTAATGAATTTCTCCGGAGAGAGATATTCCATTATAATCATCTTCCAACCTCCAGCAAGTTCATTTACTGCAAATAACTTAGGTGCGATTCCAACTCTACTACAGAATTGATGAACATCGTCACCATACTGTTTTGTATATTTAATAATTAACTTAGTTGTAACAATATTGTCCTCGTTTTTTCTTTTCGATGTTTTTTCATTGTTAGCATAATCAACAATATTTTCTTGATCTCGTCCAGTTACATTCATTGACTGTGTCACTGTATCTACAAGAAAAAGAAGTTTTTCAGTTTGCAGCTGTTTTTTGTACTCAAAATCAATAACCATATTATTCATTGTAAAAGATCTGTAACAAGGATAGATCATTGGTCTGTTTTCCTTAAGATTGACATTTTCCAAAGAACTTGGATTCGATTTGTCATAATATTGTATTAATTCCAAAATACCGTCTTTCAATGCATGGAAAGCACATGCAACTTGAATTAAGCTCCCTTCATCATGTGCTGATGGTAGTAAAGTGAGGCTATGCATAAGAGGATGTATTATAAAAGTATGCCCAAATACTGCCCCTCCTATTCCAAGTGTTGGACCAGCAAAATAAACAATAAATGCTGGATTGAGTCCATAACGCACTCTGCAATCTTGATTAGCACCAACAAATTTTGTGTATGATGCGCATGCTTGTGTATATGCACATCCGCCACCTTCTCCCATCTCATTCTTACCCTCCCCAAGAAGAAGAAGATATTTGATATCCTTAACATCATATGTAATACCAACATCAGCACATTGAGTGGTTTGTGGCAGTGTGAGCTTAACAGAGGGTAAACCAATGTACTTGGATAACCATTTACGAAACATATCATTCCGCTCATCCTCAATTGAATAAGACATTGACATATTATTTAGAAGTTCCATGATAGACTTGCAGTCATGATCTGTAATTTCAATAGTTGATAGTTTCTCTATGAATTTAGTAAACACAGGATGATGTAATGTAACTGGAATGTTTGGCCAAGATGGTCGGTAATTCAATATAAGATCTTTAAGTGTAGAATTTTCTCGTGTTGAGCCTTTACAAAAATTAGAAGGTGCTGGCATTAACTCAACACGCTTACAATTTATCTCCGCAGCTTCATAGGTGGTGTAATCAAGACGTGGTCGTTTCGATGGTGATTTGTTTGTCGCTGTAAAAGGATGCCAATGGAATGAATGGTGCAACATCCAAAAAAACCCAGAAATGAGTGAAAAAAATTTTTTTTACTTGTATTTTTTAAATTTAGTTGTTGTTTTAATATGGAGATTTCTTTTTCCAACGCTATTATCTTTTTCATTTTCCACTTTCAAAAAGAATGATTGTAGAAAATAATTTAATATTGAATATTGCAAACATTAATTTAATATAAGAATAAAAAATTTTTTTATGCGTCATATTAATTTATTGAAATACTCTTACATCATTATCATTTTCTTTATCATTTTCATTTACGCTATATTAAATTTTAAAATTGACGCGGAAACGCGGGTTTTATTTTTTATTAATATATATTAATATATAGAACTAGAGTGACGACGAGTCATTATTATCATTATAACTAGAGTGACAACGAGTGGCGGGCAATAGCCACCACCACCATCCTTAAAACACTTACCCGGGTCTTGTTGCTTCTGCAACATTGGTTTGTTTGGTTCTTTTGTTGGATCCTCTTGAAGACATTTTTTTGAATAAAAAATTTTGTGGTACAATTGACGTTTATCCTATTGGTTTTTTTTTTTGGTAGGACAGACGCGAATTGATTTTTTTTTCCTTACTTGGAAAAACAATTTATTTTTTGAGAGTCCAAGGTGAACATTGTTGTTTGGTTTGGTTTGGTTTGGGTCTCCTAAAGAAGAAGTGTTAATAACTAACCAGAGGTACTTTTTTTATTGCATTGATATTTTTTATTTTATATAAACATTTTAATTGGAAATCAAAACGTGGAGCAGATCATTGTTGGGTAATTACAAGGTTTTCATTGATAATATTTTGCTTTTCGTAATCCATAATATTAATAATATTAATATTACTATATAATCACAAGAAGATGTCAAGGCAGCACACTGTTGAAAAAGAAACATTTTGATATGCAATGTTTGATTACAGGAAAATAGCAGGCGTTGAAGCACACATGCTATGCTACCTTAAACACATTACAGTCATTCTCACATATTCCTCGTGTACAAAAGGCTAATCCGACCTGCGACGCCCAAGGATACAATGATGCTACCAAATTCCAGATGGGGGCAGCATGGTCCTGGAGTTTACCGAGACTGCACCAATCGTCAATGACGCTTTCACTAATTTTCTCTCACAGTACCCAGACCAGAGATGGCTGCTGCCATGTTGGATGAAAAGTTACTTGCAACAATCCTACCTCTAGGGCAAGGATGGCTCTGTGACCAAGTTGCAACTCTGGAGGAATATTAAGAGAATCTGCAGCTTGTTTCAAGCACAGGAGGTCACAATTCAGAGCAGGGTTGGTGGCATTTGGACTCTGATGTTAAGAGGAAAGTTGTAAAATAGTGTTTGTTTTGTATAATAATTTTCATGAATGCTCTGTTTTTTTGATATTAACCAATTTATAATTTTGGGTAGGGGACTGGATGGGGTTTTTGCTCAACCAGTCCTCTGTCCTGTAGGTTAAAATTATCACATGATCATATATATCTTTGTCAGCAATATGGCCAACAAGAAAAAGAAAAAAGTCATAAAATGGTTCGGATTTTGTTTGGTATGTTTTGTTATAAATTAATCATTTTCCCAAATTTTCTGTTTCTCTTTAATTTTTGTCTGACCAACTGAACTTGTTATTTTAGTAAATGGCAGTAGGGTTGTTGGCGAGTAGGCATGCCACTGACAAGACAGGGGACGCCTTTGGGATATACCAGCCAAACTCATAGAAAGGGATCTTTTGTC